AAAACAAGTCTCAAGACGATGCTAAGGCCTCCAAAGTCCCCTCCAGGACCATCAACCAAACTGCCTGCAGGTCTGCAACTGCAGGCGGTTACATGTCTGATTTTAAAGCAACCACTTCCTATCCTTGGGGGCTACAATGTCCCTCTACGCCCTCCCATCTCAGGGTAAGAGCAACCGCTGCAGAACCTTGCACGGCAGCACTGACAGGACTGGACACAGGCTCAGAGATAAACTAAGCCTTCTGATGACACTAGCTTGTCACTGTGTCATTTTACAGATGAAGATATAGAGAGAGAGGTGGGGTGATCTTGCTCAAAGTCACATAGCTAATAAGTGGCAAAGTCTATAATTCTTCTCCACCCTCCAATGTGACGCCCCAGCTGGGACACCCACAGGGTTCTCTCGTGCTTGCCTGACCAGTCCTTTCCTGTCACTCATAACCCACCACAGGGTCGGACACTAGCCTGCCTTTTCAGCCTCTTCTCCCTCTAGTTTCTTAGGAACAAGGCTGCTACGACCACTGCATGACTTCCGGCTTCGCAAACACTCCGTGCTCAGGCTGGTCTTGCCTTTGCATCCAGCACCCTGCTAAGAGGCTCTTCCTCCCCTGCAGGTGGGTGTTTCCACTCTCTGCAGGGACACCCCCTCTGGGAAGCTCGCCCTCAGCACGGCAGGTGTTCCAGGCCACATCCCGAGCTGCCCCATTAGGACTGCGTGTGCCCAGGTTTGCTAGTCAGAGCAGCAGCCTCACAGCCAGGGATTATTCCCGGGTCACCCTGCAAACCTACTGCCCGCCACACAGCCCCCAGCCAGCAGCTCACCTGGAAGTCACAGCAAGTGCCCCACCCCATCCAGAAGCCTCTTTATTTGCCAGCACCGCTGATGACTGGTCTCCAAAGTTTGGTCAGTTTCACACAAAACAGCAGCTTCCACTGAAGTGCAGGGTTTTCGCTTCTGCTCCCCATCCTTACTGGAAACGTCAAGGGAAACCAAAAGGCCTTTTCTCAACCCTTTTCTGATGACACCTTCCCATCCACAATACTCACATGCTCAAGAGTTTTGGGTCCACGTGCTTTTCTTTCCCTTATGCTAAGTGGCTCAAAACACTGCAGGACTCTTTCTCTTTGAGAGTATTTGTTTGTACTGAGTTTATTGGCTTTAATCTGTTTTTGTCTGTCTCTTCAGTGTCCCTAGGAGTTGCCACTTCTTACTCCCTTCAGCAGCCTCTCTCTAGGGAATTAGCTGTGATGAGGGGCCCGTGGGCAGTCACAGAAGATGTAACTAAGGTACAGAGAAGCTACATAATTTGCCCAAGAAGATCAGCTTCAAGCCCCAACACTGTGTGTCACGTCCCTCTGTTTAACTCTTATGCTAAACTAGTTAACTTTTTATTGATTATGGTTATAAACAGATAAGGTATCAAAATACATACAAGGACTCACATTAACTGTAAGATGTTCATTAACTCCACTATTTTGTTTCTATTTATTTTATTTCTATTAAATAATATTAAGAACCTCTGCAGTCAATATAGCAAAACGTTACTGGGTTTTAAATCCAGAATATAGAGGCGTAAGTGTATCATTACTCATACTTATTTGTATGTTCACGAGACAAAATGATCTGAAAGTCTCTCTCACCTCCTCCTACTCGCTACTGGCTCTCACCTTAGCTCCCAGACAACACATTTAACAGCCTTTCGCTTTACCCACAGCTGAACTCATC